AGAACTGGCTGAGCTACAAGAGGGCTGTAGGCACCAGATGCCCTTGCTGCATTAGGAGAGGAGAAGAGGTTGGAGGGGAGTGCCTCCAGCAGTGCGCCTGGCCTAGAACAGGGCAGGAGCCCAAGGTAAAGCAGGGAGCAGCGATGCTGCTGTCCCTACAGCCGGGCTGCAATGAACCCCCTTCTCCCCATCAGTACAAATTCCTGATCTTACCTGGGAAGTGAAGAGACCCCTCAAAGTACCACTGTAATACTGATTTGTTAGAGACGTTGCTGTAGTGATACCTTCTGACTCTGCATTATACTACGATTTATCGACAGATTTTTCTAATAATCTGAAATACACTGGTAGCCCATCTGACCACACTTTGTCCCTCTTTCCCAAATGTAATAATCGGTCTGATGAAAGACTCCCTACAAAACCTCTCTCCATTCATATGTTACCTTTTGATTGCATGCATAGCACTCACAGTTTTTTTAACTCATCTTTAATACTTTTTAGGTATACTTTTAAAGCTTTCTTGGTCTATTTGATGTTTCACAAAGAAAATTGGATGCTGTAGTTTAGCACGTTTGCTGTGGGTGACAGTAGATGATCTCGCATTAGATTTACATTGATATCCTCTTAGTGCTTATCTCTAGTGTATATGCAGTTGCTCAGGCACTAGAGAGCCTTTCAAAGATGTTTTGTCAATACTGCTACCCAACTGTCATTTGTATCTGTAAACTGTGCATTTGGAACCTGCTGTTCCCTCTTACATTATGGTTAGTGGGGAGCTGAAGTGAGTATACAATGAAGTTATCGGTTAGTACAACTCTGTGGGAGTTATTGAAAAGATGAAATACTTGCTGTGTTCTCAAGAGACTGTGGAAAGAAAAAGAAGCTGGTAGGATACCTTAACAAAACCATTTGGCTTTCTGTCCTCTATTAATCACCTAAAAGTGGACATAGAGTGCCAGATAAACAGAAATTGGCTACTCTAAACAGTGCACTTTAAATCTTCTGTGTTTGGACTTAACTTGTAATAAACATGTGGGTGTTTCTGTTGGATTTGTTCCAGAGTTCCAGGTAAACTGAAGCAATTTGTACTAGACTTGCATTCTGGAAAATTGCATAGAGAGTTTCATCATGGCCCTGATCCAACTGATGTAGCACCTGGTCAGGTAAGGTTACAACGAAAGCATTTAATTTGGCCATTTAATAAAGACCTTTTTTACCCTTTGTCAGAGCTGTACTTTCTAATGTGTGTGTACTTCTAAATTCAGTCTCCTGAAAGAGAAGTCTGTTTATAGAAGCGTAATGTTGCCACTTCTGCTTGGCTCTTCTTTTAACTTTCTTTGGGTAAAGGCAGGGAGAGCTATTGGAGGAAGTATGCTACATGTTTGCCTTGAATAAGGGAAGAGTATAAGAATATTTATTTTCTCCACTGAAGCAGAAGACCTTGGGCCAGATGGCTGTTCTGAACTCATAGGGCTGCTCTTACGTTCTCATGTGACTTCAGTGCAGAAACTGATGATACATCATAGATGCATTATTTCCCGCACGACGCACTATGAGAGGATGCTTCTACGGGGAAACATCAATTGATTGAATGTTTTATAGATTTCCACGCAGTCACCAATCCAAGCAGGAGGCAGATGGTTAGAGCATCAACAAAAGATTGATAAGTGGTAATAGGGCTTATTACTTTTATTAATGCGGTTAACAAGTGGCATTAATAATGGTCACAGGCTGCATTTGTCAGTTTGGATTTGTCACTGTTCTGATCAAAGGTTGTCATGCTGTATAATTTACACGCCTCGAAGTCACTCTTGGGATTTCTTCAGGCAAAACTCAAGAGCACCTCAGTGTTCAGTTTAATCCAAGAGGCAGAAAAGGAAGGACATTACCAGTCCTGATTCCCCCTGCTCAGCCCAGTCTTCTGTGTCTTGATCAGCCTTGTATCTTCTTGATACTCTGCTCAGCTCATATGCTTGGTGTAATGCTGAAAAGTGCAAACATAACAGCCTCTCAGGTAACCTTCTCATCACCTCAGGCCCTCTCTAAGCAAGTAACTGGTTTTAACCACTTGATTTTGAGTTATATGTTGCATTGTCTAGGGCTCAAAGAGCCACACTGATCCCAGAGGAGGTGCCTTTGTGTTGGGGTGCCTTGGGCCATCCCAGAACTCGTGGGGGAGGGATAGAAACGATTTATGGCTATGGGCTCATTTTCCTGGTCATCTGTGGATGTGGTAAGGGTGGCTCTGCACTAAGCTGTGTGAGCGCAGCCTCCTGTTGCCCTGCTCCAAACTAAAAGATTTAAAAGTGTGAAAGCCCTGGAGGGCTTGCCTTGGGCCAGGAGTGTGACTGCTTCTGAATGCTGTCATGACTGGCTGTGAAAACACCAGTGAGGGCTGAAATGTACAGCAGTCATTCATGTAACTGGTAACTCCATGCATTTCTCAGGAATTCGTTGAGCAACCGGAATTCAGGTCAACAGGAGGAGACACAGAAAAGAGGGCTGGAGACTGAGGCACAGGCTGGGCAGGCGTGCTCGGAGGGAGAGACACTGAGGCAACTGCAGGCTGGAGGAGGCTTGGCTAGGGAGGGTGGAAGCCTGCTGAGACCCTGGATCCTGGTGCCTCTCTGGGCACAGGCTCGTTGCCTGGAGCTGCAGGCTTGCTCTTGCCTCCATTCTGCCTTGAAAAATGCACACAAACCCTTGGGATGTTTACTTTCTCATCTCCATATGGCATCCTGCCATCTTGTGGAAGATGTGTATGCCTGTGCCATGGAAATACTGGCCTTAACTGAACTGGAGGCTGCCAGACTCCTAGGTCACACGTGTCACTTGAATTGCATGTTTGGTTGGGGGTTTTTTTAGTCTCCACAAAAAACAAATTCTAAATTATTTTTGGCAGCCATGTCGCTTTTGCCCTGGTGTATCTCAAAAACAATCACACAAACCAAAATACGTTCAAAGTAAGTGGTAGACAGACTCAAGCAAATCTATAATGGGGGTGCATTTTGAAATACTTCGAAGTCACTGGTACAGAAACTTGTGTGACAGCCATTACCTTTGAGATGTGCCAACAAAAGGAATATCCTTAACTGATGGTGCTTAATTAACATGCGTGTGTGTGTATTCCACCTACTTGGGACTTGCAATGTGCCTTCCAAAAAAAGAAAAAAACCCCAAAACTTCAATTTGTGAGAATGCTGGACATTCATGCACTCCCATAATTGATGTCAGAAGTTCATTTAACGGAGGCAATGGATTATTAAAATGAGTCTAACAAGCGATTTTACTGTTTGTTCTGTTTTTCAGCCAATTCAGGATTTAGCAAGCAGCCCACCAGAGAGCTCATTCCAGAAACTGGCACCCAGTGAACATAGGTACACCTTATTGAGGGAAAAAGATGAACTTTAAAAACTTGAAATACTCTTGCAAGCCTTTCAGACAGCAGCATTGACTTCTGTGTGGTGGAAATAGTAAACCTATATTTTCATAATTCTATGTGTATTTTTATTTTGAATAAACTGAAAAATAATTTTTTTTCTCCCCAGGCTTGTAAATACATTTGTTTGGTGGGTCATTCTGTACAGCATCTTTCCAACGTACGTTCCTAATGCTATAGTAAAATATCAGAGACCCATCCAGACTCTTGAGCTAACTCTGTTCTGTAAAACTTTTATAATCCAAATGAAGGTATCCTTGCCAGAGACATGCTGTTAACTTGCACTATCCCATTAAATAGGACTTTTGGGTTGTTTTCTGTGTAACCTTGGTAGTATGTGCTTTTTCTTCTTCTTCATGTGAACAGCTATCCTGGTCATCTATTTCTTTGTCACATTTTTCTTCAACTTAAGAGGGTCTTCTATTCTGGATACTTGGGAGGGGAATAAATTAAAGTTTTACAGAATCTCGTGTGGCGCTTTACTGGGTGTAAATGTCGAAGCGATTAAACAATTCTGGCTATTAAAATACCAAGCGAGGAAAGGAAAAGTTTTAACGATAATGGTTGTACTTTGAATGAAAGGGCTGTATTGACCAGGTCTGATTTCCTTGAATTATTGTTATATGATCCACATGGTTGTGTTAAAGGAACATGAATGTTGGAAACCCTTCAAAGCAGGAGAGGAGTAAGGGTGGACTGACATCTTAGCTTTGTCAGTCTTAAATTATTCTCTGTATGCATGTGTTACAATTAGTCTTTTTTTTTTTTCCCTTCCTTTTTTCTGTGGGTCCCTGCCTTCCTGGCAGGTGCTTACTTTCCAAACAACCATTGCAAATTTTCTTTTCCTCTTTTTCCCTGGCTTGTGCCTTATTTATTGCATATTATTTGAATTCTGTTCTGAAGAATGAATTACCACTTTCCTTGTGGGCTTTTCTCAGTAAGTCTTCAAGCAGCTTAGTGAAATTAACACCTAGAAACTGTAAGATGGAAAAGTATCTGTTAATTTGGGGAGCGTTGCTGGAGATGAATTAGTATTGGGTTTGTACAGTGCACTTTACTACGAAGAATCTAGGCCTGTGACTTAGTTCCCCAAGGTTTATTGTCCTTGGAAGGAAGCTGGTTCTTTGAAAGCCAAGTCTTCTCCTGTCCCATTCTCCAGCTCGTGCCAAAGCAAGCATTTTTGGCAGCCGAGTCACACCACTACCTTCCAGTTGGACTCCAAAGCTGAGAGCAGGGTATGGTTTTTAAGGCTGCTGCTTGTTATCTGCAGGTGGTGCTACAGAACTTCTGGAGTTGTTCAGGCACCTGAAATTTTAGTCAGTTCCTGGATGGTGCCTACAAGTACTCATCTTACCCCTCCCAGGTTCCTATTTTTCCTTGGGATTCTTATTTATAAATGCGGTTTTGTGGAAGACATCTAAACTTCCCTTTCTGGAAGAGAGATGCTACCTCATCATACCCCCAACGGTCCAGTGGCTGGGGCTTTCAGCTATTAACTGAAAGAGATGAACCTCTCCACCATTTCTTCATCCAAGTTTGCTTTTCTGGGTAAGGACTCATTCCTAGAGCTGTGGGGTCCCAGCATTAGGTAGACACTTAGATGTAACAGTTTTAGGACAGTTACGTACTCCAGGCATGTCACTGCGTATTCAGTGGCGATTGAACAGCTAATGTCTAGGTGTGCCTAACGCAATGCTGAGCATCACTTGAACTTTTGAAGTATCTGTCGAGAGAGAGAGAGAGAGAATTTGCCTATAGAGAGCAAGCATTGGATGAAATGCGAGATGTGTTTCAAATTGAGCCCTTCAAATTCTGATCATCTACATCAGTGGTCTTAACTGTTCAGTGCTCGGCTAACTGCTCCCTTTAACATTTCTTGAGGCTTTCGTGGGAAGTTGTCAAACAATATTAGTGTTATCTGGAACAAAACTGTTCCAAACTCTTATTAATTGAACTTGAGTCCATTTCTGACCTAGCATATGTGTATGAGTTACTAGATGCATGCAACATTTTAGGAACTTGTGTTAAATTCAGTCAGTGTAAATATTTCAATAGCCGAAGCATGTGTTTGGTAACTCAATTCAGGATTCTTAAATCTTGGTAATGCAATTATTTTAATAATCTAAAATTTTTGAGGGAGTAATCGTTTAGATGCTGAAAGGAAATAAACCCCGACGTTCTCAGTAAATGCTACAACCACTCTCATAGGCAAAAACTTTTATTTGGTCTGAAAGAATTAGGTGTATTGTACATTTCTTCTGACTAACATGCCTAGCAATTTAAATGCCAGTTTGATTACTCAGACACCCATGTTTCTTCACATATGTAAATAACCCATCTATTTTAAAAAAATCATAGCTTAAATAATAGTCTCCCAAGTCTAATGTGTACACAATGTTTTGAAATTGCTTCCTTAAAGACACAAGGAGGAAGAAAAGGTTTTGTGCTAGACGTTTGTTTCATAAAGTGAGCGCATACCAAGCTGAATTTGTATAAGTTGTGGTAGGAGTTCAGTTTTATGAATTCAGATTGTCTTGGCATTAGTCCAACTTGGGGGGGGGAGAGGATGGAGTCCTCAGTGTTGCTGATGTGGCTGCTGTCATTTAAATGCACAAGGTTTCAAAACTCACGGTAGGAAAGCAGACATAGCGTTTTAAAATCATACACAGAATCAACCACAGTTTCTGAAGAACAACTTTTTTTTTTTCCTTAGTTCCTTCCTTTAAATGTGGAAATTACATATTGAAGGAATGAACAGCCTTTGTAGGAAGTTGTTACAAGCTCATTAAATGTGTTTACATCCAAAGTAGATGCATTCAAAGAAAGGCGCTTTTTGCCTGACCAGAGCAAATGAGCTGAATTACTTGGGTCATGTTTTCCATGCCAGCTGATTTTACAGATGTAGGCACTGTGGCTTTAACACCCGCTGTTTTGACGATGTCCATGATTATTTGTGAAAACTATTCTTGCACACGTTGCTTCCCTGAGCCTCAGACCTACTTAAAATAGACACAATGCTCTGAGTGACAGCACTTTCAATTGTATTTTAAAAGTAATATGGAAGAACTGTTCAGAAAAAGATACTTGTGCTGTAACTAACAGTTGCCTACAGTGTCTCTATCTAGGCACAAAACCTGATCAATCTGTCATTAGCAGACAGTTATTTGCAATGATGATATCAAAGTACGGGTTAAGAAAAGGGAGCTCCTTCTCAAGGATGCTTCCCATACAGTGTTCCCTGCTAGGGGAACACTGACTTCAGTGTTCACCTAATAAAACTGGACTCAAAGCAGAGCTCAGGATGAATGGAACAATTTTAAAACTTTAAAAAGCAGCTTCCCAACCTCAGTTTCTGTTGCCACAAACAGTAGCAGCAACAGTGTGGGAACTGTCCTGGGAGGACAGAGGTAGGGCCATGTGCTGAGCAGCAGATGATGTGGCAATAAAACACCATTATAAATACTCCTGTATTTAACAATGGAAGTTTCAGTAGCAAAAGGCTTCTTAAAGCAGCAAAATAAGGCTGGTGTGAATAACCGGCATCAGCTATAAAAAGCTAGCAACAGCACTAACAGTGTCTCACCCTGTACAGGCGCCACAGCATCTCCCAAAATCTTGAAAAGGCCGAGAAGAGACTCTACTGTGTGGGTGGAAGCAGAAGTTTCATAACTGAACGGTGTGCAGGAGGGGTGCAGGGGACCCAAGCAAGCATGGTGTCCTTAGTATAAACAGGCTCAGGTTGGCATCTTCCAAACAGGCCCATCGTCTGGGGATGTCAGCTGACACCGGCGCCATTTAAAGGCCCTCGCTGCTTCACCATCCTTTGACCTCGTGCCTCGAGGGATAACAAAAGCTATTGAGGGAGCGGGCCCGGCTGCAGCACCACCTTCCAGGGAAGCTCTTCAGCTCTCCCCCCAGAGCGCTGCTGGTGACAGGAGATGAGGAGCAAGGGCAACAGCTAGCAGCAAGCACTGCTCAAGTAAGCTGAGGTCAGGGCTCAGAATGCCAGAGCTTGTCACTTCATCTTGTACGGTGTTCTCAGGACAAGCCAAGGAGCTGAACAGCCATGGAAAATTGCATTCTCCAGTAGCAGTCCTGCAGGGTTGTTGCTTAGACTGTTTAATTCCTAACTATACTTTGCACAAGATGAGAGGGTTACAAATTTTTTTTAAGAAGTAACCTGAAAAGGGGGAAAAGCTGATTATGATGTGCTCGGATGTGGCTGACGGAGGCAGGCACGGGACGTACAGAAGTTGTTTTTCTACCTTGCTCAGCCAACATTTTAACCTTTTTTCCTATGGCAACTAACGCTTCCCTGCACATTCGTTATTGAACAGGCAGAGTCAGTCACGTCCTGGGGGTATACACAGGAGGAGTTTGGGAATCCAGATAAATGAAAGTAAACTTAAAGTACTATGGCCATGAAAGACAGATGGACCTTATTTTCTTTTCTTTGGAGCTCTATAATAGAAGTTCCAGCTTCTGGGTGGTGTCCACAGGAAAGCACTAGGGTTTTCCAAATATCTCTGTATTGTCTGCAAGACACTTTGTGCAAGTTTAGCATGAAGCACCTGTCACCCGTCAGTACAGCTGTGCCTACAGCTCACCTAAGAATCTTACAATTAAGTGTTATCCGTATAATTTTTAAAGGACCGGTGTCACTTATCACATCTGAAAAGAGAAATTCGGACAGAACCGTTTCACCCCTCCCAAATAACAGTGCTGTTATCAAAATTCACGCAACTCAGCCTTGTCTTTAAAGCACAAGGCTGCAAGTCTGTAATCAGCACAGCTACTACACTTTTGTTCCTAGTCAAAATGAATCTCCACTTCAGCTGGATTTTTTGGCACTTTGGCAAGAAAGCCCTGGACAGCTGGAAGAGACCTGCTCAATCATTTTTTGTTTCCTTCTTTGTATCAGTTTTCCACCTGTGAAACCCAAAATCCCACCACCAACTGCAGCTGCAATTCCTGCCACTTTGAAGCCTGCAAGGAGACCAATAGGACCCCCCACCACTCCACCAATGACTGCACCTGCCACAGGCAGAGCTGCCAGCTTGTATTTTGCAGCCTGTAAAGAGAAAAAGAAAAAAAAAAAAGAAAAAAAGAGTGAGCGAGAATACTTGCCTGTGGTGATGTGCATTTTCCCCTCATTGCTCTTGGCAATGACTTGAATGCTCACTGATAAATAAACTTTACAAATCAGTGCTTAAAAAAAAGATGATCTGCTATCCCACATACATGACAGAATGTACTGAAAACAATGCAAAATTGAGCTATCGTCTCGTGTATGCAGTTGTGAACCAGGTCCTTTTACATGCTACTGCCTGATTACATACACTATTTATTACCTCATCTCCATCATTAAATCAAATGAGAAACTGAGGACATGCTCAGACCATTCAGTAACATGCCCAACTCCAGGTTTGTGGCTTACTAGCAACTATCACTGACATCTACACAGAATGAGATTGAAATTGTCCGTTATCATTAACCTGTTGTTTTTACGCTTATTTCATTCTTGTGAGCCAATCGCTGAATGCTCTTGTCTTTGCAGGTGAACCGGCGTAGCGTCAGAATAGCACAAAAAAAGCAAAACGCCCCCCCACATATTTCCTAGTAGCCTGGATGTGATAGAAAATTAGAAGAGAGATTGATTTTTTTTTTTTCCCTGCTACCTGTGGGTCATTTCTTCCTTATTTCCTTAATTGCTGGCTCCCTCAGCATTAAAGATGGCAGATCAATTGGGTTAATACAGAGGATTGCTGGGAGGCAGAGTACCATTGATTCACCAGCAGGAGCAGATCCCTACCTTCCCCAAGTTTTTGGTTCCCTCTTCAACATTCACAGCAGCACTGTTGACATGGTCTTCAATCCTGTCAATCTTCTCCTGCTGAGACTAGATGCAAAGGAATTATGAGTGAGGTAACCTGCTGGGAAGCAGCAGTGAGCCAATACACACCATTTTAATGCCTGTAATCAGGGCCCCACAGCCGCTTTCATCTGCTACACACTGCAGCCGTGCAGCCCTAATGGTGGTTCATTAATAGCATCTGATAAACTGTGCTGAAACTACAAACTTACTTTAAAAAAAACTATTAAGTAATAATATGGTGTGGGTATTATACAATGTGTTGCTGCAGTTAGGAGAAAACAATCCAAAACATATGATTTCTGAATCGTTTCCACGAATAGATGAACTCACATTCCAAAGGGAAAAATAATCCAAACTGAGTTTCACTTTCAAAGAAGAAAAATTCTACAAAGAGCGTTTGTAAGACCAGTACCAACCCCAACATACAAAGCTCTACCAAGAAATCTAAACAGAAGTGTTTAATTATGACATTATAAAACACTGACTTAACTTCCCAAATAGAGTAGTGACTGTACTGAAAATATACTTCCTGTTGCTCTATATCCTACTGTTTGATTTTACAAAAATGTTCCATCCCGCCTCCAAATGCAGGCAGATTCCCCTGCAGTCTCTCTTGGAGAATGCTGGAGCAGAAGATAAGGGGTTTGTTTGTTCTTATTTTAATCTCAGCAGTACCCAGGCTAGTTTATGTCACAGAAGAATGAGATGGCTAATGTTCAGCCTAAAATGAAAGGCATTCTGAACTTTTTTCCTCTTTCTAACTCAGAAACTGCTGAATCCACCAGCTCTGGTATCTTCATCTACGATCCAATCCACACACTTTAGATACTTGCTATTATATCTAACAATGCTTATGTGTTTTTAGCTACAGCTGCTAACATTTAGGCTACTGAATAAAAATTTTTTTGCAGTCCCTCTCCAGCCTAATGAATCTTAGGGGGTTTTTTGTATATGGGAAGCAGCGCCTATTCAGCAGAAAGGATAAAAGCTATTTTATCTATCCCAACTAACCCAACAGCAAGGAGATCAAAGAACTCTCCTGGGAGATGAGAATTGTGGGTTTAAATTCCCTGTGGCACAGGAAGAACTAAAGACTGGGAACTGAGTGTGGATGATGAAGATGCACAACCTTTGGCAGCTACACTTGTGAGAGCAGAGAAAGGGCATGATAAAGGTGTGGGAGACTTCAGATTTTTCTCGTACTCCTGACTAAGTGAGAAAAAGTACCTGAGAAACACCCACCCTGTGCAGTGAAGGCTATCATCACCACTACGATTAGAAATTGTAAAAACTGAATGGGACCTGGGTAGAAGACGGCAGTCAATGCTGTAGAGTGTCTACTCAGGTTCAGCTTCTGGCCAGGGGCACTGGGTAGAACATCAGTAGTTGCTCTGGTGACAAGAACTTAGGAGCAATTATCAACACTAGTGCTGAAACAGAAGACTATTGCCTCCTCAAAAAACTACCCTGACAGAGCCTGAATCAACAGGAGAGCCACAAAGATACCTGTAGCAATGAGTCAGGGATGTAGGGAAGGAAGAGCTGTTGGTTTTCTAACCAGAGGGGGCAGACGAGTAGTTAAACTCAGGCTTTTGAACATTCCCCTTCTGTTGGCACTTGAAAATCCAAAGGAAAACTCTCACTTTACCGCTAGACAATTTCATGTAAACATTATATGCATCACTTAGGACTTTGGCAAGTATCTAATGTACAGGCTTTGAAACTATAGGTGTATTTAGCATGGGCCCCGAGTAGCAAAGACGGCATCTTCATGCAGGCATCTTGGCTCGCTGTGGGGAAACTGCTCTGCCTCTACTGGCATTTTCCTGAAGTTCCTAACAGTGACTGGGATTTTGTAGTCTTGCATATTGGACTGAATAAATTTGGTTAATGTTATTCTGTCACTTTGATCAAGTGATACTAGCTCAGTCCGAGTTCAGATTACGGGCAGAAGTATTGCTCGTCCATTTGCCCTCTTTTTGTACAAGACTCTATCTAGGACAGAATGCAGAATTAATACTTACACTGACTAAGAGAGAAAAATCGGTCACCAACTGGCTGAGCTGAATCAAGTCCTACAAATAAAAAACAAATGTTATTTTATAATAGTTGCTAGGAACAAGGGCACCAATGTGGCAGTTAAGGGAGTTTCAACATACCCCTTCTAAAGTTTCCCAGGACTCAGCTGCATTTTCTTCCTGAGGTATTTGGGGAAGGCAGGAGTAAATCTGGATTAAACTTTGGGAGCCATCCTTCACTTCCGTGTTATATGAAGTTTCTGAACGAGAAACATGATGTTTATAAATAAATGCGCTGGATCAGAATGCAGGTGATGTGCAAAGTTTCTTGCTCTTAATGTTTTCTCAAGGACAATTTGATATCTAACCCAACTCAAGCCAAGCAACAGCCCTGAAAATGATCATATAGGGAAAAGTCTTACTCACAGCACAAGACAGTTTCTTAAAAGGAAGTTATTGCCAAAGAAATGGATTCATTTCCACCACTGCCCTCTCACAATCAGTTCTGAGAATGATACTATACTCCTGAATTCAAGGTCAGTTAATTCATTTTGTATCAACTGAACTAAGAAAACTGAACTTTGTTTTTTCATTTACATACGACACATGAACAAGCTGCGCTTCCAAAACTGAACAGACAGTTATTCATTTTATGATTGATTATTATGCTACCAGTTTGATTTTAAGCCATTTGGGGCTAAGAGAAGCTGAAGGAAAAAACTTTCAAAGAGCGAGCAGTGAAACCCAAGTAACATGCTGCCCAGCGTTCAGTGCTGGGTAACAGTACTGTGAGGACGGCGAACGTTTGAGGCTCAGGGGTGTAAAGGAGATATTCTCAAGTATCTTCCTTTCCACATCACCTGGACTGAATGCAGAAGGCATTAGGACAAAGTACGATGGAAAAAATGGGGAATGAGAGACAGCTTAGGTGGCACGGGGGAGAGCAGATGTAATGAACGGACACGCACATACTTCCTCCAGTCAAAGAGCCCAAGTCTTGAGCCACTGCAGATGTAGTGGACATGTGCATAATCATGGACGAGTAATTATGCGGTAATAAAGAATAATAACAAACAAGCTTGGCTTGTCATAGCAAGGATTAATAGCCTGAGGGTACGAAATGCAGACTGGAGAACGTATGTATGTAAATTCAGACAACTTCAATTTCTGAAGGAAGACAGCTACTTTGGTAGGACACTGATGTTTCCTTCCTTGGGAGCGCAGTATCAGGAGAAAGCTTAATATGGGGAAGACTGGTTAGATCTGTCTAATAATATTAAAGTGTAAATACTGCATTAAAATCTTCTTTAGAAACAATGGCTGTACCAAGGTACTATAATAATATTATATAACTGTTACCACACCAGACATGAACAATGGAAAACAAACAAAAATAATCATATTCAATAAAAAGTCAGTTATAGTGCATGCTTACTCATGGAATTAATTTAAGATAAAATAAAAATGATACATTTTCATAACCTTTGTCCATTTCTCAGTATTTCTATCCCAGTATCTCGAAATACATTAAGGACCTAATCTTCCTACTCTCAGATCAATACAAGTCTAACATCAATGAAGCCGATATCCAGCTGTAATTACTAAGTAAGCAGAGTGGCAGAGTAACAAGGAAGGAGAAAGTGATTTGGGGTTTTATTTTGGGCTTGTTTTTCTTTCTAATTATTTCTACCCCTTTTCCATTAAGAATCCAGACATGGAAGGCCTCTCACCTTCTACAATCATCACCTGTTCTTCCAGAACATATTTTTGATCTACAGCATCAGATTAATTTATGCTATATACTCAGTTCAGAAATACTCCTTTTCCCTTTTCAGTATAATTAATCACATATCCATGTGTCCATTTTTGGATGAACCAATTCTGCTACATATTCTGACATTTAACATTGGTTCTGAGAATTTTATTCCATTTCAATCCTTCACAATCTTATTTCATAATCAAGTTTCTTCTGCCAAGAAAAGCGTATTCTTCCCTATCAGCCACATGCATGCTAAGTTGCTTGAAATTAAAATATTTGTAATGCAAAAGACAAAAAACAAAGCTCACTAAGCAAAATTGCCTCCTCACAAATTGTGTTCCCTGTTCTGGTCTGTCCGTAACAATCTATGCTGACCTGTTTTAGAAAAGCACATCTTTCAACATACATGAATGATACCGAAGTTTTGCATGACACATATTCAAGAGAACTTAAAATTAGGTTTACACTGTTTTCTTTTTCTAATAACAAAAAATTAGTGGAAAAATATTCCTCACGGAAATTCGTTACTTCAAAAAAATACATAAGAAGAAGGGTAAGAGAAGTCATATTTGGCTGAAAGTATGAGTAAGAAATTTATATTCACTAGCTCGTGTTTTATCAAATCTAACCAATTTTAATAGAACTGAGAATGGAAGTGGCTCCCCCAGTTCACTTACAGCATCTCCACAGAAATGCAGTAATACAAAACACCTCTGCAGATTTCATAGAGCAGCTTCGCACCTCATTACACTCAAGATAAAAATCTAATGCTCTGGAAGATTCAATATGTTGGTTAAAAGATCTTAGTAATTTTAAGAGTGGAGTCTCACCTTTTGTTAATATTTGTTCAAAATGCAATTAAATTCCATTTCTATTGGACCTGAGCCGAGGATGGTGAAGGGACCACATCATTTCACTGACGTGCCTTCTAAATGGGCGATTTGAATTTGTAAACTCCTTCCCTCTCTACCAGATGGGAAGCAACATGCTACAGAGAATGGGCATACTGAAGCTCCTTTGATTAAGATCAGCAGCCAAGATTTGCTTTCAGGACTGCAGGCTCTAAGCACAAAAGAATAGGCAATATATTGCATCTGTGTTAGCAGTTCAGCAGAGCTGCTTTCACTGTCAGGCAAACTTGTTAAAAAAATCCGTTTAATTGTATTTAGTTGTCTGCCTGCCTGTATGTTTCACTTCAAATGGGGTGAATTATTTCCTGTATTCTTGAGCAGACTTGCGGTGGCGTGTCATTCCAGTAATATTTTTCTGTACTTCTCATCCCAATCTTTCTGATCAATTTCTTGCCTTTCTGAAGTGCAGTTATGCGCAATGTCCTCCATACTTTGAAGGTATTTCAGATTAAAAAAGCAGTCCTGTTCTTTGAAATTAAACTCTAGTTCCCATTTAACACCTGTGTAACTGTTAGAAAAGCAATAAGCCAGGACAAGGGCTTTCCAATGAAATACCAGAATGTATTGAGGACAACTGCAGAAAGTTACCGAAAGAAGAGGGATTTTAAATTCAATTCTGATCGTAACAGAGAAGAGCACACAAAGAGCCTGAAAGTAATGGCTAATATGGATGAAGGGGATCGCTGAATACCAGAGTTCACTACTTTAAAAGACTAAAGATAATTGAGCTCCCCCCAAAAGAGGTATTAACACTTTTCGCAAACTGATGAATCCAAACTATGGGGAAGAAGTTCCTAAAGCATTAAGGACTGCGCAAGAGCTGGCAGACACTAATAAAATAGGCTATGCTGAAGGTGACACCAAATTGTCCTGATGCAGAGGAAAAATGTTTATGGATTCAGCAAGAGCTTTTCAATGCCCTGGATATCAAGAATTTGACACACAATTAAGTTGAGTACAAGGAATAAAATAAGCATGGAAAGTTAATAACACAAAGACTAGGACACACAAATAAATTGGAACTACCAAAGGGCATAAATGGTGGCAAGAAAGTTTCTACAAATGCTTTTCAAGTTAGAGGGAAGACAAAGAATGTGTTAGTGCATCGCCAGGTAAAGAAAGAAAATAACAGATGACCCAGAGAAAGATTAAGTCAGTCTTTATACAAACAGGTAGCTGTAATCAGGTATTTGATGCAACTAATTCAAACAAGAAAGAAAAAAAAGGATAGGCTGAAACATAAAGAGAACAGGTTAAACATATTTAGATGAGCTAGATCTACTCAAATCCTGAGGGTTTGATGAAATTTACTCTTGAGCATTTAAGAAACAGCCTCTGAAAGTTCAAGCGTATTTCTGAGAACTCGAGTAAGGGGGCCCCAGAGCACTGCAAGGGAACGGATTCATTTACTACCTTATTTTTTGGAGGGGAAGGATGATGCAGCAAATAGCCAGACTTTGAAATCCACGATATTAGGACAAACTACTGAACAATCAACTACAAGATACTGAGGGTCTTAAAAAAGTCAAGATTCAGAAGCCAATTCAGTCTTTTATTGACCTGGTAAGAAGATAAGAGATTTTCTGCGATGAGGGTGGCGAGACACTGGAACAGATTGCCCAGAGAAGTTGTGGATGCCCCATCATTGGAAGTGTCCGAGGTCAGGCTGGATGGGGCTTTGAGCAACCTGATGTAGTGAAAGATGTCCCTGTCCATGGCAAGTGGGTTGGACTAGATGGTCTTCAAAGGTTCCTTCCAACCCAAACCATTCTGTGGTTCCATAATTGATATATCTTGACATTCAGAAGGCTTTCTGATACTACTGCACACAACATTCTCAAAAGCAAGCCCAGTCTTCCAAATCTACTCTTCTTTTCTCCCTGTTTGACCATTAGACTTGCTAGCTTGTTAATCACACTTGAAAGAGTTCTTGTAGTTCTCTATATAGCAACAAGAAGGGCCATGAAATCACTTTGATGGCAGGTTCCTCTCTAATGGCATCGACTGAGAATACTCTTTCAATATTAAAGACACATGAAACTTCCAAACAATTTAAAACAATACTGCTAATGCAGCAATTAAACTAATTACTATTATGTGGAAGGATTTAATTCTGATGTAACCAACTTTCTCACAGACTATCAGCAGAGAACACTATCTGGTACCAGGGCATAATAATGGCTTCCCCGAAAACAGAATAGTAGAACAGAGAACAAAAGACATTTTGTAGAGAAAGGAGGGAAAAACAGCAAAATGTCTGACTTGTAGCAGGTCATAGTGTGTTTTCAAAAATCTTTTATTTAAATGGATTTATACTGTTTTCCGCTTCCTTGTCAGTTACCAAGATAAAATGCTACAGGAAGAGATGTTCTTCTTTACATACAGACTTGCTCCTCTTTTCCAGGTATTTCAGCAGTGGCATATTATACTGTCTGTCATATAAAAATTGTTTTCTTCTTGATGATGCAAGCACTAATTCAGTGAAACTGGCCTAAATGATTACTTGCACACAATCAAGTGATTTGCAGGGGCAGGGGAAAGAAGTCAAGCTACTGTGAAACATGAATGCAAGCGTTCTTCTTTGTATGAGCAATCTTCTATTTCAATATCCAAGGCTACGGGATCTTTTTCATGGAAGGCCACAACTACCTCATTTCTTAAGATACTCTAATTAGAGCATTATCGACTTATCAAAACTTGGGAAAGAAAATCCACTTCTTGATTAACAATTATTCTTCAACTGAAATCTCATTTGTTTACTTGTTACTCTCTCAGAAAACGTGGACTGGATACAGTAATATAGATATCAGATACAGAAATTAAATTTTACTACCTCCTCCTACAGTTGCAGATCTGGTTAAAGAAGTATCCTCCTGTCCTTCGAATTGCCTTTTAAGTTCTTCTGCAGATTCAGAATGGAGATGTAGGAAGTCTTTTATGGCAAATGAAGCTTCCTCTTTAACTGGATTTATCATTCTCTGTAGAACTGGGATGTCTTCCTGTCGGACTCGCAAACAGAGTTTCTCCATCTCTCTCATATTGGCTCGGAGTTGCTGTAAAAGTTTTAAGAGTTATTTTGTAGGTTACTTCGTAAGAGCACCTTTTGTGTTTGGGAAGCAACTATCATCTTGATTATCTTTAAGTAATCATAAAAAGTGCCATTTCTAAGTTTTAATAAACTATGACCAAAAAAACCCTCAAAATTCCCAACTTTCAAGTGACTGCTATGTTCCAGGTTACCTCTCTGCTACATTCATTTTTGTTTCCAGAGAGCGTTGTTTGACTGCAGCTGGTTCACCTGTCAAAGATGCCCCCAACTGCTGTAAAAGCCCGTGCCTCCAATAACGCCGCGAATCCCTCCTTTGAACCCATCCTGGGTCTCCCAGACTCTGTTATTTTTGTGACCCAGTGCTATTCCCTGGTCTTTCTGTACTGCTCCTGCAGAAGAGTCATCCCATAAAAAAATACAGCACTCTGCAGAGAAGGGGCTTGTCCTCATTTAAGGTAGCTCAACCTAGCCATGATCCATGCTGAGTAAATGAGCCATCTAAGTCGGGTGACAGTCCTGTAGCTGACAGCGATACTGAGCGAGTCAGCGATCTCGTCACCTCAATCAGAGCTCAAAGCTGTCCACAGAGGAAGGCATCGGTACTTCCAAGAGTTTCTCACTCAGAGGTGCCGCTACATCGTAACCAGCTCAACAAATCTGTTGTGTTTCTAGTATTTGCTTGTGCTTGTCTTGCTGTCAATTTTATACTTTATCCACTTCTTCAAGTAAAGAAGTCAGTTTGGTTTATTTGGGGTTTCAATTAAAGTATTTAAGTAATTAATTCACTATGCAATTACTGACATTATTTCGGTGTGATCAGTTTAGGCCTTTGCCAAAATATTTACACAGGTTGTAACATGTTAAAATAATATCCAAATACAGTAAGTGATTGCTTCTCAAAATTTGCTTTTTTTTATAATAAGTGACCGAGGTGATCATAGCACTTCAGGATACAACTATTTGCAACCCCCAACTACCCTAACACTACCATTTTCATTTGGTAAAGACAACTTCAGTGGCAAAGAAGAAGGTTTATTTTTGTTTGCAATATTTATATTCTCTTTTCAGAAGAAGGACGAATATATTTGTTTGACTTGAATATCAAATATAATAAAATACAGAAATACTTCTTTAGTTGCAAGAGTTTTGAGACAACACAAGCTATTCACAACTAGCAAGAAGAGTCTGTGTGCAGGCATCTCCTGTGAGATAAATTTCCATCTACAGCAAAAATAGAGGGGGCTTGTTATTGCCTAGGCTTTTAAAATCTAAAAATGCATGCAACTTTTCTTTTTCTACAAATGAAAAGAAGAAATTTATAGTTTAAATTATACCACTTATTGGTTTAGGACAGAGTTTTTATCTAATTGTAAAAAAATAAGGCTCTAATAAAAATAATATTCACTGCATTACATTAAAAGATGATATCATAAATTATGTTATTTATGGCACTATTTACCAATGGGTTTGAATATTTTTCTCACCAGCAGAACAAAAGAATGGATGAACATCAGTGAGTTGCTAGAAAAAGGAAGATTTTCTTCAGTAATGCAAACCATGTACAGGTAATGCCTTAGAATGGCAATACTGCTTACCTGGAAAAGCAGGAACTAGATGGAATTTATTTTATTTATATACACTAGTAGAATTAATTTTTTTTAACATGTATGAAAAAGAAATAGTAGAAATATGATTAGAGAAGAAGGAAATTAATTCAACAACAAATTAAAGTAACACTGCACGAGCCATAGTAGGCAACCAAAAAAAGAACTATTGATTCGTAAAAATCATTTGTCAAATTACTAAGAGTATATTGTATTGTATGCTTAAATTAAGGGCACTACTAGCCAATTTAGGCTGCATTATTTAATGCTAACCCCAGGTAAAAACACTGATTAACAATAAAAAAAAGGGAGATACAAAAAATAACTTTGTAAGATATTGAGTTGAATTAGAAGCATGGTACCCAATAATTTTCCTCATACATTTCTCTTCTTAATCTACCTTGCTCTTCCTGTTATCTTCCTCCCTGCCTGCAAGCACTGAAACAGGGAGAACATCATCACTGTCACAGTCCGCCACGTGCCAAAATTCTTGGTTTATAAAATCTTGGAATTTCATTTAAAAGACAAAACGGGACTACCTAGACACAAGATTTAATTATCTATTTTGTGACGATTATATGCAGGGGACTGAGTGAGGTTGATCCTGCTTTTCTGTTTCAGGAAACAAAATTATTATTATCCCATCTTTGGCCATAATGGAGACAAAAAAAAAATATGCCAAACAAAAACACGTTGCGAAACAGTGACAATAGCGAGTTTGGGATGACCTAAAAATGCTTTCTAAGAAGTTTATTTAAAAAAAAAAAAAAATTCCCAGTTGTAATCAAGTTAAAACGTAGCTCTGCTAGGGATTTGCACCACTGCAGCTGCAGCCAGGGCAAATTACCAGTATAGCCAATGCATGGGTATACTGAAGACGGCTACTGTGCAGTGACCAACACAACCACCAACTTGCTGCTGGAGTTTACAAAAATCCTGAACAGAAGCTTCAAGAGATACAAACTACCCGCCCCAGCAATGGCTAAATCAGATCCCCACTTTCACTGTTCATTCTTACGCTGCTGATCAAAGAGAAATTATTTCTGAGAAAGAAGATGGAGGAATCAGATGATGATGATGATGATATTTGTATACCTGGTGAAATTTAATTTTAGTGCCTCTTCCTTTGTGGCTCTGGGGAGAGGACTCTTGTTCCATTTGTTGTCAATTAAACAGCAGTTAAATGGATTCAGCCTAGCAAGAAAGCTAAGCCCTGCTGTGAGGAGACACGTCTTAGGAGCTCACCAGGGTGTAACATGATAAATGTTATGGATATGCAAATCATTTTAATGGGACAGAGTTTAACTTCTAGGTAGAGCATGAAAGTATATCACTCTCTTCCTCACTGTTTCCACTTTTAAAAGTGCTTACTTAGCGAAGAAGGTAATACAAAATCCTGGTTTCATTTATGGGAACTCCTGAGTTTCAAACTCACCAAATTCAGCCCAAAAGACACAGACTTTTTCTTTACAATATTGGCAATTTTGGCCTGTTAACTTCCAAAAGCAAGTAACAGTCTTTGTTTCAAATGGCTTTCTCACAAAAACTGTAGGAAAATAAAGCTGCAAAAACCTTGGGAAGTCATCCCTTCAAAGCATGATCCATTGTCCCTATTTTATTTCTGACAGTTGTTTATCTACTCTGGTCTTAAAAGGACTTTAGGAAGAGCTACAACTTCCCTGATAGTATATTACAAGAATTCATTATGCTAATTGCCATAGCATTTTTTCTCATGTCTAACAGAAATCTCTCTTGCTTCAGTTTAAACCAAGTATTTCTAATCCTCTCTGTTCAAAACAGAGAAAGGCAAGCCCCATCCTCTTTGCAACCATCTTTTCCATGTTTGCAAACAGACAACATGCCACTGTCAAGGCATTCTTTGGGCAAAATAACTCATTTGTCAGTCTTTCCAAATAAATCTTGTTTCCCCAATTTCTGACCATTTGCATTGCTCTCCCTGCCTACTCCCTACCCAGTCCGTAGCTTCGCTAAAAGCGTGGTGCCTCAACTGGACTAGCAATTCTACCTGGGATCCTACTAATGCTGACCAAAGCAACTGTATGAGAGACTGCACTTGCTACTCTCCCGTTTATATATCCCACTATGTTATTTGGCTTTTTTGTATCACTACCACACTATTGGCTCACTTTTACTCTGTGTCCCCCAAGACCCCTTCTGCAGAAGTGCTGCCCCAACAGCTTCCCGTGCTGGATCTATACAGCCAATGATTGTCCTTGTCCCCATCCAAAAACATACTGATTTTTCAGGTCTTTACATCATTATGAATTCTAATCCTGTCCTCTCCACCAGAATCCCTTAGTCTCTCTCAGCTTTATGCTGTTTGCCTATTTTTGCTATATAATGAAACTAACGTTACATAGCTATTTTATAGTGCTTCCATCCCTAGCTCTCAAAGGACTTTTTTGGAGTAAAGTGCACTGTTCTTCTTGAATAGATGCAGAACCAAGGTAGGGACAGAAAATCTGAGCCTAATTTTTCTAAAGCGTCCACAAATTCAGAGGTAGGTCTGGGAGATCCAGCAGGATGGTGCATTCACTACATTACATGAATAAATATAATGGATTTTTTTCAGAAAAGTAAACAAGTGGCACAGTTTTCACAAGTAGTGCGAAAAATCTATTGACTCTATCAACACACCCAAAATGGAAAGAAACCCACCACCTTAAACCTTCTCAAACATAAATATGATTTTTCAGAAAGTATCGCAGTAGCTTCGCTGTGCAAACATAATCTTGCCTTCACTTATCTTCTCTGGACTTCGTTCAAAGGAATGAAATAAAGGATAGATGTTACAAATTTCTTGGTACACATCAAAGAAAATCTGAGTTTAAAGATACATTTACCCTACAGATGGCCACAGGCTGCAACAGTGACCCAATTTTACATGTCCCTGCACTGATACCATGAACAGTCTCCTGCAGCAACAAAGATGCTCATCTACCCTGCTTCTCATGCTCTCCCAATATATGGCATAGTATTCCAGAAAGGTACTTAATTTGAAGACTGCATAATCTTAAAGATGGTACAGAAGACGTGAGCCATACAACTAAGCTTTGAAAATTTATGCAAAAGAGAGCTGACTGAAAACCAACTTTTACTTGCAAACCATTTTCAGTTGAAATAGAAATCATAAAAGTGAAACAGAAAAAATACATTAACATTTTTCAAGTAGCTTTCCACATTAGAGCAACACAGTGGAGAGATTACATCTGCCTAGGTATGTTTTGCAGAACAAAGTCTCCTCTTGCGAGCTGAATATAAGCTAAAGCCAGATCATTCATTCAGAGTATTTTTCCTTTTTTTGTTCAATGCCTTATATCCTCTCTAGTAACTGCAGCATTTTTCTACCTCTCACTATGAGTGTGATCAAAGTAGTCCCTACGTGTTACAAGAAAATACTGCCATTTCATTGAAATTAACTTAAATCTTGCAATAATTAACTAATTGTATGGTATAGTCAGCATATACAGGGCAAAGCCTAGAAAAACTGTGTCTTTATTCAGGCCCTAACATTTTAAGAAGTCCACAGGCTGTCCCTAAAAATGAAAATCTATGAGAGCACAATCGTGAAAACTAATACACAGTATATAAGAGCAATTTTCTCAGTATTTTTGAAAGGGTGTCATCATGCCCTATACAAAGCTTTTCCTTGTTTTCTTCACTTTCCTTTTTAGAAGTTTTTTATGTGGCATCCAGTCACCAGAAAGGAGAGGTATACATTTATGCTCATCTATACTTCTATTATAATTTTGACCATCATCAAAAGTACAACAGAGGTAATTATTCTGGGTAAACTGAAAATTCAGAAAAATGGGTAATTATGTGCACATGGATTAAATGTAGAGTGGCTGTGCATATATTTGTCTAAAACCTGTGGCGGATGCCTTGGGTCAATATTGACTTAGGGATTCCTAATGTATTTTTACAACATCTAATTTTGAGAGCAAAGTGTGTGCTGTAGAGAACATTTGGTATCACAATAATTAATCTGATTTCTTCGCAAACAAACAGATCACAAGTCCATTGGTAAACATTTAAACAGCTTACAGCAAACACATTCTACATGTCATATAATTTATTATCAAGTACTCCAGACTCCTAACTATTTAATTAAAACAAAGACCTAGTCTACTCTTCTTGCATGGACCCAGATACTTACTCTGCTCTCTGGGTATCAGAATGTGAACCACTTTAATGCATAATTTGCATCCAGATCTAAAAGCGATAAGCGTTAAATAAAATATGAGAAAATTTAGTTTGGCTGAAAGTGAAAATGGTAGGCTTTACGTTCAAGACAAATATAAATGTTTCTAGAGACAAATATAGGGGTTTATTACTAAAGCACTTAATGTATTTAAAAATATTATCTTGAACATGATCGCTTTTTCTCCAATTATTGATACAGATTTTGTCTTGCTAAACATGTGATATTGATAAGAAAAAGTTCAGGAGAAGCCTTTCCTCCCCTCAGATGTGTAAACAGATTAGAGCACAGACATAAGCAAACATATGCTTACTACATCACACCTGTTAGAATGCCCTTGTTTCAACAGGACTCCCACATTTGGAAGACTCTTCTGATATTAAGAATAAACATATTTTATATTCAAATTTCAAAAATGCTCTGTGGAAAATCAAAATAAACATTAAAACCTCCAAACAACAGAAAAATCAAGTGGATTTCATACATAACTTCTTATAATTGACATTAAAAGAGCTCATTAACACCTTCCATTCCTCAAAAAAGATACATAACTCCAGCTCTGCCTACTGCCTAATACTGTTGTTCAGTCGGGATTAAGTTCTTCTTTCTGAGATTTTTTTTTTTCATTTTTCATCTGGTCTAATTTCCCCTAGGACTCAGTAAGGCACAACAAACACAGGAATTTACAGTATTAGAGCTATAAAATACAGTGGGTTAGGACTGTGCTATCCCTGCTGGCAAAGCCTGCTCGTCTAGATGCAACGTAGGTCACAAAAGGTTTGTCCCAGTAACAAAGTCAAGTCCCTCCTCTGAACACCACCTATGAAACCAAAACAAGATGCCTCTCCTGCTAGCAAAGATACGTCTGTCCCCAGAATTTTGCCAGTACAGCATGTTATAACCACTAGCTGCTATATCTGCATCATCAAACTTTGCAGTGCAGGTCTGGTCTTTGTGGTTTTCTGTACTGATAATCTTCTTCAGCCGTGTGCTATTTAGCAGTGTGAAGGCTGATGTTTGGCCTTAGCTTTTGCATCATTTTCATCAAGACATGCATTTTTTTAGAAACAGATGTGAGATTCCCTGTGTGCTGAGTTATGTGTGACTGCGTGTGAAGTCACTGAGATGACGCCATGCTGACAAATGTGTGTGGTATTTCCTCCTTTGATGATATTATGCATCTAACAAGAGGTTTGCGCACCAAAGTAGTAGTCCAGATGTTCTGTGTTTGGTCTGAAACCACGCTTTAAAATTAACCATATCCCTTCTTGCAATTCCTGTCATCTAATTTAGTAATGTAAGAGGTTAGTTTGCAAAAGACCAGAGTCTCCAAACATTTGTTTGTTCAAGAATCCTGAAACATTTCTGACTGTATTTGCCTCATAGGACACAATTAGAAAATCCCTATCTTTTGAACAAAGTAAAGCAATGCCATGTACTTGTCAAACCCATTTGTCAAATAAACATCACTGTGAAGATTCATCCCTGAGATAACCAGTACTATGTATCTAATTTAATTCCATTAATATCACAGTCATTTTAATATCCTTACCTGAACTGTTCGTCCTGCATTGATGTGCTCTTCGTGCAATCTGTCCCAGAGCCTGCATCTTTGATACTAAAACAAAGGAAGAGTACTCCATATAATTGCTATTTTTACCAACTGTCTATGCAGAAAAAAGGAGCCTTCAGTAAATAATCACTTTAATTTTCCAAAATTGACAGTAAAGAAGCTGAGTCATAGGCATTTCCACTACAATGTATTTTGTGAATTATTTTATACAATGTATTTTACTGAACTGCAGATAGCCAGGGTTTCACCATCAGTTTTTAACAACAAAGATATACTGCAGCACCCTGATACTGCTGTGGCATAAATCACTTGGTGGTCTGTAAAACAAAGGGCAGAAGGAGGAAAAAAGAACGGAATAAGGGATAAGCCAAATGGAATAGGGGATAAGCAGTACTAGTCATATAGGACAACAAGGTATCTCATATTATTTACAGATAATTGCATTCATTACACAACACTACTCTCTACATTTACACTTACCATTTCTATATAGTTACAAACAGTTACAAGAACCATCAGAGCAGATGTGGCACCTGCATGAGGCTCCACTAACTTCAGTGGGAAATTATCCATGCAGCGCTTTCCACGGGACAGAGACCAGGGCAATTATTCCATTAGCAGAGAGCAAGTTTTGCAAAAGAACTACGTATCATCACATATAAACCTTATCATCATTAAAAGTAATCAATCCCTGCTATTGCCAGTTGACATAAATAACATAGAGACATTATTATGAAAAAAGAGTAGTAAAATAATAGAAGGTGTGATTCTGGGATATGTGCTGAAACCATCAAAGAATGCATTTACAATACTACACAACATTAGAACATTCTTTTTAATTGTTTACCTAACAAGACAAAATATTTACCATGATTTGTGAGGTACTTTTATGTAAAGTTTAATTCCTCAATTTTTAAACATGCTTTGTTACCAGTAAAAATCTATCTACAGCCTACCCCTTTCCTTAATTCTTTTCATAATTTTAGAGGCCACAGTAATAGCTTCCTAGAATACAACAAGAAATCTGGTTACTTATTTTCAGAGAAAAAAGTTCCTTCATGTTAAGATTTTGTAGTGCTATGGGAGAGAAAAAGGTTTAGTGTTCAATTAAGTCAGATTAAAGTGATTTTTCTAGGAAGCTAGCAACTTCTGCATAAATTATCATGCCATTAAAATTACTGCCATTGTTCTTTAAAACAAAATTGATAGAAAAATCTGTATCAGCAGTAGATCTTCCCATTCAATCCTCCCTGAAAGAGTACTGAAACAGAAATTTCTGATGGTGGAACAGAAAGGGTTTGGGGTAACTTTCAATTTCAGCTGACTGTAACATATTGTCCACATACCGAATAATAAAAAACCTGTTTTCCAGTTAAGAACAACAAGAAGATTTTCCCAGGAAACCTTTATTGCTCTTTAAAATTTCCACTAGAAAGGCTCAGCACATTTATCTGCTTTATATATTGTTACTTTGCTTCGAAATTCCTAGTATGCTAGTGATGACCTCAAAAATTCAATGACTTAATACACTCAGCGCAATGACATTCATGTGGTCAGAGAATTATTCCTTGTTGTCTTCTCTTTGTCACCCAACACAAAGTAGGATAATCCTGGGCAATGTTCACTCTGGGGGACTCAAGAGCAAACCTTGAGGAAAGATGGTGTTGCCGTTATTTACCATTAACAAAGATGGTATTGCCATTACTTATCATTAACAAATACATGTAAAACTATAGGGAGGTCCATGGAGTAAAAATACCTATGGAATCCTAACCTATTTAGAGGGAGTCCAGAGGATGGTCACAAAAATGGTCAGAGGGATGGAGTACCTCTCCTGTGAAGAAAGGCTGAGAAAGTTGGGGTTGTTCAGCCTAGAGAAGGCTCCAAGGAGACATGATTGCAGCCTTTCAGTACTTAAAGGGGGCTTAGAAGGAAGACGGAGAGACACTTTTTACTAAGGCCTGTAGCAACAGGACAAGGGGCAATGGTTTTAAAATGGAAGAGGGTAGGGTTAGATTGGACAGAAGGAGGAAATTTTTAATGATAAGGGTGGTTAGACACTGGAACAGGTTGGCCAGAGAAGTTGTGGATGCCCCATCCCTAGAATGTTGAAGGTCAGGTTGACTGGGGCTTTGAACAACCTGATCTACTTGAAGATGTCTCTGCCCACAACAGGTTGGTTCAAGTAGATGGCCTTTAAAGGTCCCTTCCAACCAAAACCACTCTATGTTTCCATGAGTCTATGATATTTAAACGTAATTGTACTATAGTCAAATAGTTTGTATTCCACATCAGAAATACAAAACGTAACATCACTCTTAGACAACCTCTTTTCCACTTTGTCCCATTCCCTTTTGAGAACTCTCTTTAGAAAGACACCTTTGTGCTTTTGGATCCCTTCCATTTCTCCTTGTAAGTATCCAGTGGACATGGAGAGAACTCAAAGCTTTTGGTAATATCCTCTGCATTAATTTTTGTAGCAGGTAGTGCTCACCAACCTTTCTAAAACCTCCATAATAACTGTCTTCTACAAATGTATATATTCTGCTGAAGACTGCAGTAAGACTCAAATATCTTAATTTCTCATTTTGTGTCACCTTTACGTATCTTCCCACAACAACAATGGTCCCCAGCCAAAGCTAAAAACTGTTTTGCAAACATCCTGAGAGCAACAGAGAAAAGGATGCCATGTCCTACAGCACTTTTTTTTTAAGGTTTGTTGCATATCACCAACAAAGTTTAGGGCAGCATGCCAAAAATTCCACCTTCCTGTAGTACCATGACAATTGCTTTCATCTAACAGAGGCTAACACAAAGTTGTAACTCTTTTGGATAAGTATGCATTTCATTCCCTCTTTTGGAGTGAAAAAATATCCAATCCACAGAATGTGCTTTAGAAAACAAGAACTCCAGGGGGAAAACATGAAAAGAAAAAAAAAAAGTGTAGAGTACTGATTTCCTACAAATGTAAGTTTTAAGTATTCAGAAACTGTCATATGGAAAGTTGTACTCTCAAATAGTTGAGAAGCAATGCTATGATGATGGATTTATGGTAGCCACTTCCTCCGAAAAAGGTGTACCCAAGGTCAAATTTCATTATATATTGATTTTATAGTTTCTTCAAACAATGATTTAGTAGATTAATTGTTTGGACTATCTCTGGAACCTAAGGTTTAAATCAATATTCATGAAATGAGGTTAGAGATATTGGCTTCATCATAAGTAAATAAAGTTGCTGCTCTAAGCAATTTGACGTAATTAGTGATTTTTGCTTAAAAGTAGCCTGTAAAATAAACAGGAACAGATTCTACAAAATTATCCTTCTACCTGTAGGGATGTTTGGTTTACATGGCTGAAAGTTAATTTTACAAAAAGTGTTTTAGAGAAAACCATTTAAGCTGCTGATGCTGACAGCTCACAGAAGTACTGTAATACATTTGTTATGGCTAAAATGTATGTAAAAGATGTAAAAATGTAAATTATTATGGAAGTATTTTGACCAAACTATTGCTAGCGTTATAATAATCTAAAACTATCTAGAGTGACAGATTTCAAATTCACATTTGCCATATTTTTATTCCCACCTTCTTATAAATCTAACAATAGAGTAAACTTTGTGATATTTATGGTTCTTACAGCCAGGAAAAAAAAAAAAAAAAAAACTTTCAAATTTTAAGAACAATACACTGAGTGTGGACTTCTTAAAGAACCTGGAATTTAGGGACTATTTTTATACTCAGGTTTATTATTTCTCATAAATGTTTGCATCTTCTATTTTTTGTCAATACACAGAAGTTCTGAAGCCTTCGGTTACTGCTGAATACCTTCTGATATAGTTACCAATTGTTTATTTGAAGGCTTTATTCATAGCTACTTCTTCTAATAATTCTGTTAATTAATAATTCAAATATCAAATCTTCCAGGACTTACACTGTCTAGGGATGCAGAAATTTTTAATTAATAGTATTCTCAAATCAGAAAGACAAATCTGTACTAAATGTTGCTATCACTTTTTGTTTTCATAAAAATGTTCTAGAGGAAACGCAGTTAACACTTTAAAGAACTATCTTTACAATTATTTAAGGATTTTTCTGATATGCAAATTTTCTTATGTTGACTAAACAGATCATTAACATTGAAACCAATAACCTGAAAATCTCAAGAAATATCCAAACCAGGTACTTTTAGATTGCATCAGATTTTTATATTCAAAAAATAAAAGTCAACTCAATAAAACATCCTGGTATTCAACGTAATCATTGAGTGCCATCACAGAAATGCTGCAGTTTGTATTATCTCTAATTAAATTCTGGCTAAGGATGAGTTTCTCTGACAATGCTTTGAACAAAGTGTTAAACCAGAACCAACATAAAGACTCATTTTATCCTCAGTGCTAATATCTTCTGCATTTTCTTCTAGACCCAGAAAACAATCCTTACAACGATCTCTCCTTCTATCTGCAAAACAGGAACGTTTGACTCAAATGCGTTGACCAATAAAGACTTCAACTGAACAACACATGGCTGAATTAAGTGTAACGTATTTCACCCCTTCCCTGACACCATGGTAACATTATCTGGCTAGATACAGCTTAATTATTCTTTGTCTAAACACATAAAAGATTTCCAGTTTTTTTTTAAAAAGATCTTGAGCAGGACCAACCAGTAACTGGCTACCACTCCTTACTGACCAGGTTCTGCAGAAAGCAGCAGTTCCCAAGATCATCTCTCACACTGCTAAGTACTACACAGGGTAACAACTGATCATGTCTCTGTTTCTCGTTGCAGCACCCAACGCCTTTTGTAGCTTCTTTATAGGGTTTTTATATACCTTAAATGAAGGGAGTTTTACATATATGGACAAGACTTAGCAAAGAATCTATTTAGCTGTACAAAGTAATACTCTTCCAAAAAAAATCAAGTGGCTTAACAGTTATAACCATGCCCTCCATCCTCTCTCCCTAATTTCTACCATGCACACACCAAAAGCTTATCTCTACCTTCAAAGTGCAACAAAACCATTTGTGCAACGCTAATATGCCCTGC